AATGTTGTTCTTGACTTAAATGATAAAACATTTGGGGCTTAACTGCTAATTCAAGGATTATCAACTACATGAATGGTTAGCCTAATCTGATAATAAGAGAATATTTGCATTGGTGTTGAATTTTATTTTTTCAAGAAAGTGCTGCCAACCAAATAACTCAAAAAGTAAGAGTAAGTTGAGACTTTATCGAATTTATATAACTGATTATATAAAACAGGTTGGCCCTACTTGCTAATGAATATTGAAATATGTTAGCACTTTCATTTGGAGAATTGATTTCTTACCTGGCACTAAGGCTAGGGGATCTGGAGTCCTCAACAAATCTAACTCACTAAAATCTAACTTTTTATTGGATATCCTCACTCTGAATTCTCATATATTTCAGAAAATATTTTATAAAGGTATTCTTTCTTCCAAAATTATGTGATATAATCAATTTGACAGTCATTGCAAATGTCATTATTTATATAAAAATATTGACATTTCTAACTCCCTGCAGAAAAAGAAGACCACGGTGGTTAGTTTGTTTGTAGTCTTAAAAATGTGTCCTCTTCATTTTATCATGTGAAGACATTAATAGCTGGAATAAACATGAAAGATGAAAAGTATTCTAAATTAAAAAAGAATATGGACAATTTTACTCTTTAAAATTAAAAATAAATTAAACTTTTATTTTAGGTTTAAAGGTACATGTGAAGGTTTGTTACATAGGTAAATTCGTGTCACAAGGATTTGTTGTACAGATTATTTCATCACCCAGGTATTAAGCCCAGTACCCAGTAGTTACCTTTTCTGTTTCTCTTCTTCTTCTCACCCTTCTCCCTCAAGTAGACCCCAGTGTCTGTTGTTTCCTTCTTTGTGTTCATGTGTTCTCATTATTTATCTCCCTCTTATAAGTGAGAACATGCAATATGTGGTTTTCTGTGTCTATGCTAGTTTGCCAAGCATTATAACCTCTAGCTCCATCCCTGTCCTCACAAAAGATATGATCTCATTCTTTATTATAGCTACGTAGTAGTTCATGGTATATACGTACCACATTTTCTTTATTCAATCTGTCATTGATGGCCATTTAGCTTGATTCCATGTCCTCGCTATTGTGAATCATGCTACAATGAACATTCGTGTGCAAGTGTCTGTAGTAGAAGACACAGAAAAACCCAGCCGGATATTTAGTAGTTTTTAAGACAAAAAGTAAGCAAAGAATATTAAAGCAGATATGCCGATGTAATGTTACCCAGTTTTATTTAAACTTACATCCTTCACTTTGTAAAATTTAAAGCAACTACTCTAGGGGAAATAACTAGGAGACACAGTAGGAGAAGTGTGCTTTGATGTGGCACATCTATATAATTATAAATAAGCAGTTTTAACATCTTTCTCCAGTGAATATTTTCTAGTTACTGGAATTTAGATTATTCGTAATCTATCATGGGTAGCAGTAGACATCAAATTCATAGGCAAATGATAGGATAGGAGAGCAATAGACGGTATGCATATATGGATACGGACACAGGTATTGTGTTTAAGTTTCTGGCTCCTCAAACATAATTACTAAAAGTCATATTCACAGGCTGGATGGTAAGAAGCAGACTGGCAGTAGAAGAGTAGAAGGTTGGGTCTATAATTTAGGGTTGGGTGTATAATTTAGGGATGTGAAAGCACTGGGACAACAACCCATGGATTAGAATACACTGGATACAAAGCCCAGGGATGGAGAGCCACAGCCAAAAGACTGAAAGCCTCTGCATCCAAAGCCCAGAGATCCAGAGTAAGTCATCTGGCAGGGACTGCAGAGCATGGAGGCTCTAGGGCGGTAGCAGGAGGTCTGGCAGATGCTGGACACTACACAGTATGTCTGGAACCCAGGGAGTTCCCAGCAGGTCTCCTGATAGCCTCTGTAGAGAGAAGAGCCCAGCTGTCAGGTGCTGGGAGACCAGAGGTCAGGTGCTGTAGACCAGGTTGCTAGGGTAGGAAGAGCCACAAGAGAAGCTTGGGTAGTGCAGGTAGCCCCCACAAGGTGGGAGGAGAAGTTTCCAGAGTAGCAGTTGTAGGATATGTCGGCGGGAGAGTTGACTTATAATGACAGTGTTATGACTTTGAATGTCACTTCTTGGACCTGGGGACTTATATACCCTTAACATTGGGTGTCATCCACATGGCACATAAAAACAGGTTACCTGCCAACTATAAATGAATTAAAAAGATCGTCATAGTCAGACATATATATTACTTGTGATTTTACAACTAGAAAGTGCAGTAATGTTTGTGCCTTGGGATTCAGATAATAGTGTTGACTCTTTAAAGCTATTACTCATCTTCCCTTACCAAAGGTCACTCTGCAGATAACTCAGAGAATTGCTTTAGAGGTAGACAGTGTCTGGGTTAAGGGAAGCTGCCTTAATTAAAAATAATTGATACCCGTTTCACAATCTGTCTCAAAATTGTTGCCATCTGGTGTACAAAGTTGCCAGCTAACCGATCTATTCATAGTCATTTCTTTTAAACAAAAACATACATTCATTGTCACCACAAAATAGCAAGCTAACTTAATGAAGAATATCATCAGAAAGCGGCGACTGATATGCAAGATAGAATGTCTTTTTAAAAATCAAACCTCAACTGGAACGGCTTTAATGAAATATTAACTGAGATTCCCTTATTTTGCATGGTCCTGTTCAAAACTGTATGCAGACTATTAGGAGCCAATCTTAGCTTTTCTTTCGTTGGGTGTGTGTTTACCGTTGAGTGAATTAAAAATAATAAACCGCTTCATGTATTTTGGAATGGTCGAGATTATTCATCTAAGATGCTGAAAAAGCATTAAAAATAAAAACAAATCATGTGGCAAAAATTCCTAGTGTATTTCTACCTCTGATCAGAGTCAGTGTTTCCCACTAAAAGAATTGCCCAGAATCTGGAAAACATTCCTATTTTAAAGAAAGTTTACAAAGTAGCTCCCTTAAAGTGGTGAGACAAAGGGATCATCTTAAGAAGATTCTTCCCTTGCCTCAAAAGTAACATACATGACTTTGACGTACATTATTTTCAGGTGTTTCTGACAAGTGTTACAACACTTCTAAAATAATGGTCATATTTTCTCTTGTTCTGTGACTTGTATTTCACCTCGATGTAATGGTATAATGAAGACTGATATGTTGAGGAAGAGGAGAGATTGAAATTTATCTTGCTGTGGTTTCTGTGTTGTTTGATTTGCTCATTTTTAGAAAAACGTTTCCATTCCACTTCTGAACGAAAGTAGTTGAATGCAAAAACATCCATACTTTGAGAAAAGAACGTGCGACGTTACTTAATATCCGATCCCACGGAATATTCTTCTACTGAAATTGCTTACACAGGAGTGGATGACACTAAAACAAGCAAGCAACTTCAATTTAGGTGAGCTAAATATTCGTGTGGCTATTTTGATATTCAATATTTTATTGGCAAATACAACAGGAAGATTTGGAATCTACTAGAATGCTTTTTGCTATTCATAATTGAGAAGCCTAATAAGAACTGTTTATTACAGAAACACAGAACAAACTATGTTACCTAATAAATGAAACATGATTGGAGATCAATTTGTCTCCTCAGCAGTTTAGACTCATAAAGTCTACAATTTGGAAGGAAGTTGAGCAATTATCTCCAGCCTCCTGTCAGATTGAAATTCCACTTACAACATCCTAATTAGATTTTCCCAGGGCCCTCAATATGGAAATATCATTAATTACAACAGCAACTCATTTTAGATTTTTAGCTGAATCTTCCCTTAAAACTTTGACCTAGTAATCCTAATTCTTCATAGAAGGGAGTCTCAGTTCACTTCCACTGTAGAATACATCAGTTCTGAAGATGGATGTCTTAAGAGGTTTGCCCATTCCCACAGGTTAAGCCATTTCATGTATCCGTGGCCTATCTCTATCTACAGTTTGCTTTGATGAACTTTCTGAGTGATTCCAGAAAAATCCTCATTACTCTAGTACTGTAGGCAGAATATATATATCAGTTGATACATCAGAGATCACAAAGGCATTCACTCTCAATTACGCATTATCACCATACATCCTTCCCACCCCTTTATTTCAATTTATAAAGTCATTTGTTACTATGAATTCTTCAAATATTTTATCTTTCTGTGAAGACTACGTGGGATAGACATTTGCCTCATTTCTTGCTTTTCTTTTCCCTCTGTAGTAAAACTGTCACCCTCTGAGAGAAAAGAAAGGAAAAGATTAAAGATTTACATTTTAAATATAGTGCTTATTATTTTGCTCTCAGTAACATCAACACCACCAAAAAATTACTTACACCTTATGGGGATAAATGGTTTTTTATAATCAAACTTAATGATGATTTCTATGAAGAAGCAAATCAACCTCTGGGTAAGGGATTTCTTTAGTAGTTTTACAATGTAAACTTCAAAGCACTTCTGCAATAATTTGACCATTCTTAAATCCTCATGTGCACAAGAGTGACTTGGTTACTTGTGTTATAAGAAATCTAAACTCAAATATGTTAGGCACTCATGTAGCATGTCTACCAAATAAGGATTGTTATTGGGCTATTTCTTCTAATGGTTCAAAGATTTGAAAGAAGGAATAGATATTGAATTTTTTTTCTGTTCTCCATTGAATTTATAAAATTGGAGCAAGATAAATGTCCCTTCCAGATTACAAGGTATTTTTTAGATCTTTACAAATACCAGAACTCTCAGTGTGTTAGCCATTTGATCCAAGTTCTAGAAGGACAGGATGAATGAAGCATCGATCTTTTTTTTTTTTTTTTTTGAGGGGGTTGGAATCTTGCTCTGCCACCCAGGCTGGAGTACAGTGGTACGATCTTGGCTCACTGCAACCTCCACCTCCTGGGTTCAAGCAATTCTCCTGCCTCAGCCTCTTGAGTAGCTGGGATTACAGCCACCCGCCACCATGTCTGGCTAATTTTTGTATTTTTAGTAGAGATGGTGTTTCACCATGTTGGTCAGGCTGATCTCGAACTCCTGACCTCATGATCTGCCTGCCTCAGCCTCCTGAAGTGCTGAGATTACAGGTGTGAGCCTCCGCACCCAACCCTCTGAAGCATCAGTCTTAGAGGTACAATTATGGTGGTTTTCATTCTACCCAAGCAAGATGAATGAGAAATGGCATTTTTGTTTCATGAACAACTGCTTTGAAAAATTAATGAAATTCTTTCATGTAGACGTCTGCATTCATAAAAAAATGTTATTTGAATATTAATATATTTCATTTTGACTGGAGCCTAATTAAGTGTTCTCATTAAAATGGGCACTTGTGACTACATCTATTGCTAGAGTATGTAAGTGTGCAGTATAGAAGGTAACATTCACACACACACACTCCTCACTGCAACTCAACTGAACTCAGAACTCCTGTTAACATGTCTTACAACTACAGCTCTGGAAACTTCTCCTCCTGCTGTTTTGGAGGTTACCTAGGGTATCCAGTTTCCATTTATAATTCGTTCTACCCCAGCAATGCCATCTATTCTCCAAATACCTGCCAACTGGGCTCCTCTCTCTACAACGCTTGTCAGGAGACCTACTGTGAGCCCACCAGCTTTCAGATATCCTGCACTTTGGCCAAATCCTATCAGACATCCTGCTACCACCCAAAGAATTCCATCTTCCGCAGTCCGCACCAGACTAACTACATAGGATCCCTTGGATGTGGAAACACTGGCCTTGGATCTCTTGGTTATGGAAGCATTGGCTTCCCATCTCTGGACTGTGGGTCCAGCTTCTACCACCTAACTATCTTTTCATCCAGGAATTTCCAGGAAACTTGTTACTAACCAGCCTTTGGGTCTCGCCTTTTTGAATCAACTTACTGAATATTCTCCATTCTCTCATGATTATTTCTGTACTCTGTGGAACTGTAACACTCAGCCTGTCCAATATCTGTGATTGTTGACCATCTACATCAGTAGGACTCAGCATCCTACCCCTCTTGGAAGTATATGGTTGAACAAGGACAAATTAATCTTGACCTAGGACCTTTCCTAAATCTGACAGGAGATATATCTTGAATTTCAATTTTTGTGCCAATGCTCAGGATTATTTCTGTTATCATCTTTCTAAAATTCTTCTCTCATTATTTTCCCAGAATTCTTCCACTGAAATGTATTTCAAATAGTTATAATATTTTAAATAACCTTATTTCTTTAGCATGAATTCTGGTATTCCATTTTATTTTATTAATATAATACACTTAGGCTGGGCGTGATGACTCATACCTGTAATCCCAGCACTTTGGGAGACTGAGGCTGGTGGATCAGTTAAGGTCAAGAGTTCGAGGCCATCCTGGCCAACATGGGGGAAACCCATCTCTACTAAAAATACAAAAATTAGCAAGGTATGGTGTGCACCTGTAATCCCAGCTCCTTGGGAGGCTGAGGCAGGAGAATCACTTGAACCTGAGAGATGGAGGTTGTAGTCAGCTGAGATCATGCCACTATACTCTAGCCTGGGTGACAGAGTGGGACTCTGTCTCAAAAAAAATAAAAATGATACATTTAGTGAATTCATCCCGTATCTTCAACTGTCTTCATTAGGTACACTTTTTGTTTGTTTCATATGTTTTATTGACAGTTTGTTGAATAGCAAGTAAAGTGTAGGCCGGGTGCGGTGGCTCACGCCTGTAATCCCAGCACTTTGGGAGGCCGAGACGGGCGGATCATAAGGTCAGGAGATTGAGACCATCCTGGCTAACACGGTGAAACCCTGTCTCTACTAAAAGTACAAAAAACTAGCCGGGCGAGGTGGCGGGCGCCTGTAGTCCCAGCTACTCGGGAGGCTGAGGCAGGAGAATGGCGTAAACCCAGGAGGCGGAGCTTGTAGTGAGCCGAGTTCGCACCACTGCACTCCAGCCTGGGTGACAGAGCAAAGACTCCGTCTCAAAAAAAAAAAAAAAAAAGAAAGTAAAGTGTAAAGAAAATTTAAATATATAACCTATCTCATGTTTTAAGAGATTTAAGTCCCCTCATAAGTGCATTTTTTATATATTTGCTTCAGAAAATTTTTAGTCTTTCATTGAAAAAAGTATTTATTGAGGTCCTATTAAATACCAAGCATTATACCGAACAAAGACACAAATTCTCTGCTTCCAGAAGTTCACACAACTACAATTATAACTTATATGGTGAATGGAATAATGGGGATGAAGACAAGATTCAGTAGGAACACAAAGAAGAAGAACTTCAAAAACACTCGGATAAAATAATATAAACCCATTATTGAGAATAGAGTAAGTTACATTCAATTTTTGAAGAATAAATCTTACTGATCTGTTGTGTCCATTACAGTCTCTTGAAAAGCAGCTGCCAAATAGGATTAAACATAAAAAGGATTTACTGGTGAAAATGCCAGTGATGGATAATGGGGAGGTAGTTGGAGAGGTCTGGGAGAGCCATACTACTATGGTGTATGTCTAGCCTCAGTGAACGACAGAGGGAAGTAAGTTTGGCCTAGAAGAAACTTCTTTAAGAAACTCCTTCAGGGCAATTCTAAGAAAGTTTTGGCAAGTCACCCATCAAAGGAGCCTTACATATCACCAAAATGGGGCCTGCCTTAGCATCCTTGCCAAGAGTACTTACTAACAAGAACGAATGACAGCACAACCTTGGCACAAAAGTGACGGTAGATTCACATACCAGCTGCTGTAGCTAATCAATCAGTAATGCTCCCTGAAGCAGGAGATTTAAGAGGTACATTTGCATAGCTTCCATCTTCATGATATTTATTCTGATCCTAAGTAAGCTCAGCACTGATAAACAGTGGTAAAATAATAAATGATAACTTGGAATTTTTCATGTTTTTCTTACTTTGATCAAAATGTCAATTATTATGTCAGACCCTGTACAGGACCCACTGAATGAAAATCTAACCCTACTACTGAATAAGAGAAAATCGAGAATTATTAGATGGTCATCTTTGATTGTAACTGATGCATTAAGCAGACAGGACTCAGGACAGAATTAGGAAATTGCTTCATTTTTTTTTTAACAGCACTGAATTTAGAGCTCTATCTTCCCTGAATCGTCGAACAACACAATAGGTAGATCTATTATCACATTAAGATATTAAGAAAAATTTTCATTTCATGTTAGTAATTCAAAGTTGCATAATTACAAAACCAGTCTTACAGCCACAATCAAAGCTTCTCCCTTTCCCCTTAGTCTAGGCCTGTCATGTGTTTCCAGAGGCCACCAGCGGTTTAAAGAAGACTACTTTTTTTTTTAAATTTCTATACTCCACCTTGCCTTCCATCAATGTACTGCTCCTTGCTTCTGTTTGATTCAGAAAGATACAATGGGAGGAAAGAAAATGACAACCAGGGCCATCTTCCTCAACATGATGCTTTAGACCACCTGTGTCAACAAGGACTGTGTTGTTTGCCTCTGGAAACTTTTACTGGGAAGAGATAACATCAGACAATAGCTCATTTCCCTGCATGCTTCAAGAAATTCCTATAGACTAATCTGTTGGAGCCAATAGCCTGAAGACCTGAATAAACAGTTCCCTAATTAAGCAACAGTTTAGGTATCAAGAAACTCATGTCAGCTTCCTCTCTTTGCTGTGTCCATCAATTCTAAACTATTATATTATAAATATACCTAATTCCAATCAGTTCTTAGCCTTGAAAGACCCACCTTAAACCAGCTCAGCCCAGAATCTCATTTCTAGCACCTTTCTGTGGAAACACAGAAAAGACTTATAGTAGCATTCTTCTTTGTGGCAGGGAGCTCAGACATACTTCATTTCGTCTTAACAGATTTTCTGGTGATCTTACAGGTTTTTCAACAGGGACATTAAGGTTTGTGCATTTAGCCAGGACTCAATCTTTGCCATTGAATATCCTCTGTTATTATGCACTCTGTAATGTATAAGCATGTAATGTTTGTGTCCTTCCTCCAAATTCATATGTTAAAATCCTAATTCCCAATGCAATGGTATTTGGAGAAGAGGCCTTTGGGAGGTAATTAGCTTATGAAAATGGAACCTTCATGTGGAAATTAGTGCCTTTATAAGAAAAGACACAAGAGGTTTTCTTCTGGTCTCTGTGCTCTCTGATACACGAGGACATAGAGAGAAGGTGGTCATCTGCAAATCAGAAGGAGAACCATTTCTAAAAACCAAATTGGCCAGCACTTTGATCTTGCACTTTCTAGCCTCCAGAACTGTGAAAAATAAATTTCTCTTGTTTGAGTCTCCAGTCTATGGTATCTTGGTCCAAACTGACGAAGACACCACAGAGCACACCCTTCCATGACTTCTCCCTGAATCCTCATCCCGAGTTCCCTCCTGCTAGGGCTCCATCCCACCCAGCTTTCTTCTGCTAGGATCCATTTGTCCAGGAGGTGGCCTTCTTGGCCCATAGGAAACACACACTCACAGCTGTCAGGCCTCTGAGCCCACGCCAAGCCATCGCATCCCCTGTGACTTGCACCTAAACGCCCAGATGGCCTGAAGTAACTGAAGAATCACAAAAAAAGTACAAATGCCCTGAATCACAAAAGAAGTGCAAATGCCCTGGCACGCCTTAACCGATGACATTCCACCACAAAAGAAGTGAAAATGACCCGTACTTGCCTTAAATGATATTATCTTGTGAAATTCCTTTTCCTGGCTCATCCTGGCTCAAAAAGCTCCCCCACTGAGCACCTTGTGACCCCCACTCCTGCCCTCCAGAGAACAACCCCCCTTTGACTGTAATTTTCCTTTACCTACCCAAATCCTATAAAACGGCCCCACCCTTATCTTCCTTCCCTGACTCTCTTTTCAGACGCAGCCCGCCTGCACCCAGGTGATTAAAAAGCTTTATTGCTCACACAAAGCCTGTTTGGTGGTCTCTTCACATGGACGCGCATGACAACAGCACTGGTGGTTTGTGATTTGGTCCTAGAGCAGGTGTCTTCCACCCAGCTAATTATAATGGCTCACTGCTTTAAGAGTATGCTAGTCTAGTATCAAAACTCCAGGAGATACAGAAATACTCAATTTTCTGCCTTGTCGTCTTGGTGGGCAAACAATTCCAGAGACATGTCGTTTTCTTTTATTAGTGTGACACTTTCGGTAAATGCATCCTGTACTTACTACTATTTTCATTAGGTAAACTTGTTTTCTTAGCTTCATGTTTTTTGTTTTTTTCTGGAAAGAAAACAGAGTTTAGAGAGGAATTGAAACATGACATCTCATGTCTTGAGAGATTTACATCCCATCATAGAGCATTTGATCATATAATTGCTTTAGAAAATGTTATTTTCAGTTAGACATTCATTGAACAAACATTCGTTGAGTTCCTATAACATAAAACATTTTTGTTATAGAGAACGACACTACCTTCTGTCATTCCAGCCAGCCACCACACACTCTGTGAATGGGCCTCTTCACCTTCTCTCCTTTCCCAAAGAGAGGGAAGCCGTGTATATATATGTTTCTCTTTGTGTGTTACATGGGTAGTATTATCCCACAAGAATAAAACTTATTTCAGAGTAAATCTCTTTCTCTTATAAATGTCTACATTGCACTTAAGGGGTATAAGACTCAGGAAAGCTGTAAAGCTGTCATGGCCACCTCTAATCATGGAGATGTGACTAGGACTGGGATATATTGTCATTTACCAATATTTGCCCTCAGCTTTGGGGACTCTACCAAACTTGTAACTTTTGTGAAAAGCACCCTATAAAATCATTTTACATAAAGATAAAATAAAACTTATTAAATAAGCTCAATAATGAGAAAGTGACATGAGTAACTATAATCCTATATGAAATACCCTGGATATTCACAAATATAGAGCCATGGTGAATAAAACCATACTGCCATGGAATACATGATTTTCTATAGAGCTTTTCTTCTAGATTAGGAATTGAGAAATGATGGCTGATGGGCCAAATCCAGCTACTACCTGTTTCTATATATGAAATTGATCGGAATACAGCCACAAGCATCCATTTACATATGGTCTATTCTGACTTTCATGCTACAGTGGAAGAGCTGAGTGGTTCAGACAGAGACCATATGTCCCTTAAGGCCTTAAA